TACTGGGCCCCACTCCTTTACAGGTATCTGGGTCTGGGTTCTGGGTCACTATCCCCACCTCGATTCTTTAATAGTAAAAGTAATGCTAGTTATAATATTGAATTCCTGCAGGACCAGGCACTGTCAAATGATAATTACTAAGACTTTGGAAAATAAGCAAAAAGAAAACCACAATTCTCATCTCCCAGGTATACACAGTTAATCCTTAGGTATATTTTATGTGTATGTGTTAAATTCTTTCAGGACAAATTGTTAAAGTAGTGGATGGTAGCTAAATTTTGGGAAATTCTGAAAATAGAATTAGGTCAAGGATGAATTTAAATGTGTGTGACTTGTTTATAATGGAACTTTAAAGGAAAATTGGAGATAGTCCTCATGCACTTTCAAGGTAATCTTAGACAAATATATGTACCAAGTAGCAAAATAAGTCCACATTCTTTGTTAGTAGGCAACAATTTCTTGCTAATCTCTGGAGTAGCTGATGTTAGGATACCTTCTATTCATCTAAATGTAACTTTTTAAAGAAATTGGAATCTTTAGTTACACATAAAGAGCTTATACATTTAAACCTTTCTGATTTTTCTATAATCTTAAAAATAAACGTGTTTATAGTGCTTAGTTTTCTATCACTGACTTACTTTTGAACAAGTCTTGATTTGTGTGAATTATGAAAATTGTTATTTTACAGATGAATTATATAAATTAGTAAGATTTATAGAATATTTTTATTTCTTGAATACTTTAATACTTTTTAAAAGTTTGGAGTAATTTCAGTTGTACAGAAAAGTTGCAAAGGTAGTTAAAGAGAGTTCCTATATATCCTTTCTCTGGCTTCCCCAACTGTTAACATATTACATGGTACCTGCTTATCAAAATTAATTTATGAAAACTAAGAAGTTAACATTGGTACAATGCAATTAACCAAACTATAAACTTTATTTATATTTCACAGTTTTTCTAATAATCTACTAATGTCCTTTTTCTGTTCCTGGACCCAATCTAAGACACTACAGTGTATGTTGTAGTCATCATATCTCCTTAGTCTGTAACAGTTTCTCAATCTCTCCTTGTTTTCCTAGACATTGACATTTTGGAAGACTACTGTCAGATATTTTCTAGAATATCTGTCCATTAGAATCTATCTGATAACTACAGTGTATGTAGTCATCATATCTCCTTAGTCTGTAACAGTTTCTCAATCTCTCCTTGTTTTCCTAGACATTGACATTTTGGAAGACTACTACTAGATATTTTCTAGAATATCTGTCCATTAGAATCTATCTGATAAT